TGTGTGTGTGTGTGTGTGTGTGTGTGTGTGTGTGTGTGTGTGTGTGTGTGATTGCATCGTTTTAATATCTTATAAATTTGCATATTATTTACTGAGTGTAGATTAATTTAATTTTACTCCATAACATATTTTAATTATAGGTTTATAGTGGCTAATTAGGATAAATAAGTTTTATCATGATCTCAATAATACATGGATATTTTAACTTGATGAAACATATATACTCATTTAAATTCTTAAGATCAAAACATTCGACTATAAATACTTATCTTATTTATGAATTCAAATTTTTACTTCTCATTCATGATCATCTTAGTAAGAAAAATACCATTATAGTAACTTACTAATAATAATGAAATTAGAAATAATATTTATTACTAGCTATAATAACTACTATTATTTATTAATATTATTATTAAACTATATTTTTTTCTTTTTCATTTTCTGTATCCGTCACGTAAAAAAAATTAGGTAAAAAATTAATTATAAATAAAGACACAATTAACTCATAAATAAATAATGTATAAACAATCAATATAATATTATATTATTTAAAAATAATCTAAATGAATTTGACATTTTTTTATTTAATAAGAAGCACAATTTATGTAAATTATTTACAAACAAGAATTATCATACTAATTAAATGAATCAATGAAGATACAAACAACACATATAAGATGAAAAGGAAAATAAAAATGGTTGAATAGTATATAAGTACATCCCATCAAACAACTATAATTATATGTTTTTTTTATAAGATTATAATAGATATTTTCTCTCTACTTTAAAACGTACGTATTGTGAAGTTATAATAATTTGACTTATTATACTCTTTATCTTTCTTTGAGTGAGTAAAACGAACTGGGTGGAATAAGAAGTATGAGCTCACATTTGTAGATTCTCTATTTATATATAGAAAATTCCAAATAGGAGATAAATAACTTTATTATAATTTTTTTTTCTACTAGACGAGATCACATTTGTAGATTCATCAATAGCTTCATAGTCTACTTCCTTTAGGTGTCAGTACATGTATATAGTTGAATGTACTTGTACATTCGATTTTGAAAAAATTGCATTCCAATAGAATTTGCTATCCAAAGATACATGAATGGATATATGGCTCTTAATTACTGGAATACTGTTTGGGTGTATATATATATATATATATATATATATATATATATATATATAATAGCATTATATATATATATATATATATATATATATAAAATAATATATAGATGAAAAAATAAAATCGTCTTTATATATAATTATAAATTATTATTACCCTTATTTCAACTTTAAGGATTATCATTCCACAGTACAACTATATTAAATTGTTCAACTTTTATAAAAAAAATCTTATGCATGAGGGAAAAAAAATGCAACCGGAAGTTTAGGATGCTACTGAATTCCTCCAAAATTGCTGCGTTGAATTCGTAGTAAAAAATAGTAGCATTATTTATAGGGTGAATTAGTTATATGACGTTTTCCACACCATGCATGCATCATAATTAATATTAATCAGTCGTGTACGTCACTAAAAATATGCAACATTAGCCTAAATTAGAGTTCGGGTTAGACTATAAAAGAGGCTTACAGGTTCGACAATCAAATCATCTCTCCCACACCCACTTTCCAAGGCACCTTTGGTTGAGACACCCCACCCCACCACACAAGATGAATTCTTCAGCAGCATGCTTCTTGTTGGTGACCCTTGGCCTAGTCCTCATTTCTCAATTTCCCGTGGCAACACATGCCAGAGGCCATCATGATAGTTTGGTGGGAGAAATTTGCATGCAAACCTTGGAGAACAAGGATAACTGTATGCAGCTTCTAAAGGCAGCTGATCCAAGCATCGTGCATGCAAAGGACTTCAGTGAGCTTTCAAAGGCAGTGTTGACTTTGGCCTTGAACAAGGGCACGGAGGGGCAAGCCTTCCTCAAGGAGTTGGCAAAAGTTCAGAATTCTCCAGCCATAACAGAATGTGCAAACTTTTTCTACGATGGGGTGGTTGGATCATTCAGGAGTGCCTTGGGGGAGTTCAAGGAAGATCCTCAAACTGCTAACTATGATTCCAAAGTTGCTATTGATGGACCTGACGGTTGCAACAGAGCCTTGGCTTCTGAAAAGATTTATAACCCTGCTATTGATGCTCTTAACAAGGAAATTATGTTGCTTAGCACTATTGCATTCCAAGCCACAAATAAGCTTTCGTCTTAAGCCAATTTTGTGGGCAATGTAAATGCATGCATGAAGAATCCAAGTTGTACGGGGTGGGTTACTGTTTTCTTTAGGGTGTCTCCTTTGGTGTGGAGAGGGGTCATCAATAAAATCAAAGCTATTTATTTATTCTGTTAAATATTTACTTGTTCCTTTCTTCCCTTCTTTTTTTTTTTTTTATCAGCATGATTTCACATTTCAGTAAAATAAAAAACAAAATAAAATAAAATACGTCATACGATATGATGAAGATGACTAAAAACACTCTTTTTCTTACTAAAATCAAAGTTATTTATTTATTTTGTTAAATATTTACTTGTTACTGTATCATAAACAACATTAACTTCTTTCATACAATTACAATACATGTTAATCTTGAACAACAATTAGTCTCCATTTTGTATTCGCTTAACAACATTCAATGCCCTAGCAACTATTATCTTTTCTTTCACTTCTTTGAATATCTCCATGGTATATATCTTTGAAGCCTCACACTCAAAGTTATACAAAGAGGTAGTCAACACTAGTTCAACAAAAGAATCTTTAAAACCTGTTGTGTTCATTGTTCCTGTATTCTCTTAAAGCTTGGTCAAAATATTATATGAATTCCATTATTGTACTTTTTCTACTAACATAAGTTTTGATTATTGAATTTATCGCTTCACACTGAGAAGTCGTTCTTATGCGCCCAAAAAATTTATCACGAAAATAAGTAGTAGCCCACAAATGCTTAATATCATATGTTTTAGAAACCCACTTATTTCCAACAAGACCATGCTTTGAAATCATCTTCTTCCAATATGCTTCAAATTCATCAGGAGTAAAGTTTGAATACATGGCTGTCTTAAAATCTAATAAAAATTCAGAAATCTTAACATTCTCACAAGCATTCTTATGCAAGTGTCATGCACAAAGACGATGTGATGCATCTGGGAATACTTTTCATATGGCCTTCCTCATAGCTCCATCACCATCTGTAACAACTGATCTTGGATATTTATTATGCATTGCATCCAAGCCAGTCTCCAACACCCACTTATAAGTCTCAGTAGTCTCATCAGCCAACAAAGCACAACCAAAAATAGTTGTTTGAAAATGATGATTACAACTAGAGAAAATTACCATAGGAATGTTGTATTTATTCTTTTTGTAGGTGGTGTCAAATGCAAGTATATCACCAAAACATTGGAAGTCTGATCTACTACATCCATCTGCCCAAAATAAATGCTTCAATTTACCATCATCTGTAGTTTGAAAATTTGAATAAAACATTGTATCATTACCAGCCTTGCCTTCTAAATAGCTTAATGCAACACGCACATCCCCATCTTTAATCATATCACGTTGGGCTCGATAAAAATGCTTGTAAAGGTCATGTTTTGAGAAACCAATACTACCATATCCACCCTTTTGAGATAATAAATATCCCATTATGTGGAAAGTTCTAACACCAAATGAATGCAAACTATTCACTAGAGCTTTATCACCATCAGAAAGTACATGGCACTTAGGAATATGATGGATATCATGGGGTGGGGTAACATAATGATTATGAGTTTCCTCAAATGAGGATACTCTCCATTTAGAAGTTTTATAATCAAGGTAAACACGAAGCTTAGCTTGATAATTAGTACGAGTGATAGGCCTATGCTTCTTTTCCTATCCACTGTCAAGTAGTGTTTTTTATTTCGTAGACCTTCTCTATTGCATACAAAAAGACGTTTGATAACATTTCCCTTTATATCTCTATGTATATCTTCTTTCCTTATTACAAACCCATGACACCTAGCATATGGAGTATAAAATTGAAAAGCATGGTCTTCACTACCAAATTCTAAACCTTTAATATCATTGCCTGTCAAATACACTACTAGAAAAATTGTATTCTAAATCGGTTATTTTGTCATATCTACATTGGTTCTAAAACCGACTTAGATGAAGGCGACGTAGATGAATGAACATATTTACGTCGGTTATGTAAAAACCGACTTAGATGTATGTGTTGATCTAAGTCAGTTTTCATAAAACAGTCGTAGATGTATGTGTTGATCTAAGTTAGTTTTTGATAAAAACTGACTTAGATGTATGTGTAAATCTAAGTCAATTTTTGTCAAAAATCAACAGATTTTTTCTGTCTGAAATTTCAGATGGATGTTACTCACGGATTTTTTTCTTGGGAAAATTATGATGTTTCAGACAGATATTTCTCACGGATTATCTGTTTAAAACATTGTTCGTAGAAAATGAAAAAAAATTTATCCTAAATTTGAGGGGTTAAAAACATATTTATCCTACATTTGAGGGGTTAAAAACATATTTATCCTACATTTGAGGGGTTAAAAATATATTTAAGCTTTTATTAAATGCATTTAATTTTTACAATTTTATATATAATAGACATTACATTTCCTAAAATCTCACTAACCATATTCATGATAGATAGTGCTCTAATTTATTGTCATAAGAATGTTTTTGGATTAAGAACATTAAATAAGATTGACTTGATTGGAATTTACTAATATTTTAATCCAAAAATTTTAATAATTCTTTTTTGCTTATATATAATTTAGAAGGAGTATCATATAAATATGATTATATGATGTATTAAAATATATTACATCAAAAGATGATTCATGGCGTCAAACAATCAAGTAACAATGACAAAATGTGAAACATTGAAAGTTTAATAACAAAAATCTACAGTATTATAAGTTGAATAAAAAAATTTATAAAATTGTGAGATGACAAAAGATACAATTATATAAGCCAAAAATAAAATGCTTCAACAAATAATAATTTGAAATTCACATGTTTGATATTATTCAATGCGAAAAATAATAATTTTAAAAATTACCCCCATATTCTCATACATACATACATACACAACAATAATAAAAAAAATAATTGTATGAACCTAGGTTGTCGATCAAGTAACACTACAACATCTATACAAAAGTAGCATCAACTACATCACCAACTCAATAATATATGAGATTTTCATATTTCAGTACACCAATGTCATTCAACAATATAATCAATATGTATGTGAACAACATTACAATCAATATCATATGCATAACGCCTCAAGTACACGCATCATCAAGTATCCACCTACAAAGATCTCCTACAACAAATGTGAATGTCTATGTGATATTTATTTATGATTATTGTATATATTTTTATTTGAGTTTAAATCTGGGTTGTAAATTATTTTTATTCTTGAATCATTGATTTAGAAATTTTGAGAAAGAAATTAGTAGAAAAATTAATGGATAAAAATTGATGTTTATATTCCTTTGTTCATATATTCTAATATATCATCCATCCATTCCTTTCCTGAGAACTCCACCTAACAACATTCTTCATTTGCTATACTAGGAACTTCTAATTTTCGTTGATGAAATATATGCTATTGTCTTGGCTTTCGACTACTAATCAATCTTGCTAGTTGATATGCTTTTTCATTATTACTCCAAGGAGTGTGTTTTACTTGTATTTCTTCAAAATTTTCTTTTATCCTTTGGAACATATGAAAAAAAACTCAATAAATGAGGTTATTTTATTTGAAATGTCCTATTAATTTGTTCAACTACAACCTTCGAATCAGTGTAACATATCACTCTTTGAGCATTCATCTCATCAGCTAACCGAAGACTTTCCAAGTGGGCTTCATATTTTGCTTGATTGTTTGATGTTTTGAAATTAAACCAAAGAGATTGTTTAATTGACTTTCTGTTTGGTCCCTCTAATATAATATCAACACCACTTCCTTGCTTATGTGTGGGAAAAAGGAGTTATTTTTCTCACTAGATGAAACGGTAAAATCTACTGTGAAATTCATAAATAACTCTAACATTCCGATTTTGGGAAAAGGTCGAGTTGCAATTAGATTGAAAGAAGGTTCTCAAAATTTTATCTCTGATGTTTTCTATGCTCCTGGTCTTCATCACAATCTATTAAGTATGGGACAACTATCAGAGAAAGGTTACAACATGAAGATTAATCATGGATACTGCACGTTGATAGACAAAAGTGGAAGATTTATAGCTAAGGTAAAAATGACCCCGAATCGCTTATTTCCTTTGAGTGCAACAACTTGTTGTGTGAGGAGTTCCAAATCCTTGGGGTTAATCTAGCTATGGCTAATCCTTGTGACTGGCGTCGTCCAAAGTACTGACCAATAGTGGTACCAACACGAGCTGCACGAACACGACCATGATGCTCTGGTCGTCCAAGGGTAGTATTCAATATATCTTGACGCCCGTCAGGAACAAAGGAACCCTGTGATGCTTGCTCATCCAACTCATTCTACAATAAACAAATTTAGTTTACAATATATCAGAATAAAATTTTTGAGTAAATTGGTAAATAGTTTTATTTTAAAAAAAAATACTTACAATTTTTTTAGCAATTTGGTTAGCTGACTCAGAAGTCATTTCACCTGAACTTTTTGTGCAAGCCATCATCCACATCTTATGACGTGGAGGAGGAGGAGGAGGATCAATAACTACATCCTGACTAGCACCAGACTGTATTGCTTCTTCCTTTAGTCTCTTAACTTCATTTTTAGAATAGTTTGTCACTAAGAGATCATAAACCCTACGAGACAATAGGTGGGGGGCATCATTAAGTTGTTGGATAGCCTGTGCTTTTTTTCTTATAACCTGCAATAATTAAATAACATTAAAAAAACAATTAGAAAAATAAATAAAGCTATGTTATAAATTTTAAAAAATAATAAACATAGTTTACCTGCCATTTTGGGTCATTTCTAATTTCTTTGAATTTTTCCCGGTCTTCAGGATCGATGTTATACTTATCACAAGGACTATTACCTTTTTGTTTCCCATTTATCCAGACCCCGATAAGAAAAGACTTATATTGCCTAAATCTTATAGCAACATGTTGAAGGATTTTTTTCCTCAATATAGCATTATCTTCAATCTGATAGACTTCCTACAAAAAAATTAAATTGAAAAATTAATAATAATAAATTTAAACTATCAAACAAAGTTAAACTATTGAAGATGCTATCAAAAGGAAGGTAAAAACACATGACCCATAGAATGCTCAAAGGGCAATCTGCGTTGCCCAATCCATTGAAGATGAGTTGTTTGGAGAAACTCTAGCTAATGTTCCAAAAACAGCCAATAAAAAATGCTCCAATATATGCAAATCATTCTGTACTACCAGGAGCAATTACTGAATACCTAAAACCATGAGTGTCAAATCAGGCTGTGAATTTTGGGTGTAACACTGCAAACCAGTTCAATTAGAATCAAAGCTAATGCTTCAGTATAAATATAAAGAATGTAAAAATTGCTTCACAATTGGCTTAGCAAATCGCAATAGAAGCCAATTAGGGATACAAAGACAAAATTGAAAATAATACCTCTCTGTTCCCGCACGACTGCAAATGGAATGTTGAGAGTTGCCTGTCGATGAGAATAGAGAGAGAAGACGACGATGAGATCTTGTGAGAATCTGGAACACTGAAAGGCGTCGTCGTTGAGAGTTGCAGGAGACGATGATGGTTGTGGGTAGAACAAAGAGAGAAGACGATGGCTGCAGGTGGGAGACTTAACGGTGCCGTCGTTGAGAGTTGCGGGGGACGACCACGACGACTGTAGGTGAGAACAGAGAGAGAAGATGATGTCCAGAATTGCGGGGGACGACGAAGAGGGTTGTGGGTGGGAGACTGAAGGGCGCGCATGAACTGGGAGAGAAAAGGCGCGCTAATTTTGCGTCTCCATCTAAGTCAGTTTTACACAAAAACCATCGTAGATCATTTATCATCTAAGTCGGTTTTACAACAAACCGGCGTAGATATGTTCGTATAAGCTATTTTACTATGGTTATTATCTAAACCGTCGTAGATTATGTTACTTTTATTTACAAAACTGCCACCGCGTCTTATTCTACATCAGTTTTTAATAAACCGTCTTAGATTGAGCGACTTAGATTAATCATTCTATACTAGTGATAATCTATTCTTATAAATTCATCAATTATACATTTTCTTCTTCACCAACTTTTCCATCAACATCATCATTAACACCATCTTTATTAATGTCATCAAGTATAACACCATCATTACCTAAATCCTTATCATCACCCAAATTAAAAGTTGGTTCTCTATCACAATTATCCATCTGCAGTATATACCATAACATAAATTTCAAATAACTAATCTATCAAAGAATACATACAGTTAAACCAAAATAAATATATATAAACCATAGTATTAAGGAAAAATCTACTTATGTGAAAACAAAATTCAACCTTCATTAAATACAACAAATACAATTCAAATAAAAACAGAGTATAACAAAAAAGGTTTATACAAAAAAAATATAGTATAACACTAACATATTAAAGCCATAGTGCAAACTCATTCATTTTTCACCACATATCATTAGTCAAATACCTTGTGTTAACTAATTAACACAAAATTTAAAACAAAAAAACCCCAAACTCATAACATAACAGAGAGAGTAAAATAAAAAAATAAATAAACGACATTACCTTTTTCCCAAAAATCAATGTCGAATAGCTACTGCCAAACAATCAAAATTACCTTCTCCAAAACCCGACCTAAAGGAAGAAGACAATTCCAAATAAGTGATTAATTTTTCGAATAACCTATGAAATTGAAAGTATAAGACAATGAATGAAGATTACCTTCTCGAAAGTTAAAGTCAGAAGCCAAAACCTAAAGTAGTTAACGACAATGGCAATGAAATGGTGCAAACCTGCAACTACTGAAGCTACAAAACGAAGAGAACGAAGGAGAAAATCAATGTCAAACCCTAAAACCTGAAAGTCGACCAAGAAAACGAAGCCAAAACAATAAAGATGACCTTCTTGAAAGCCAAATCCTAAACCCTGAAAGTCGACCAAGAATATTGAGTACTTCACTTTACGGCAACAATGAACTAATTGAAACATCTACCTATCGTAAAGCCACCACTACAAAACTACAAATACAAATAACCCTAAACTTTTAACTTAATACTTAAAGGACTATTTTGCAATTTTAAAAAATTTACTATTCATGTAAGTGACTTGGCACGATATACGTCACTTAACCATTATAGTTATATCACGTAAGAAAGGTTTCAAAACCCTATAAAAAAGTGAAGGTGCGGTAGAATTTGTCTCATAATTAATATTAACCAGTCGTGTATATCACTAAAAATATGCAACATTAGCCTAAATTAGAGTTCGGGTTACACTATAAAAGAGGCTTACAGGTTCGACAATCAAATCATCTCTCCCACACCCACTTTCCAAGGCACCTTTGGTTGAGACACCCCACCCCACCACACAAGATGAATTCTTCAGCAGCATGCTTCTTGTTGGTGACTCTTGGCCTAGTCCTCATTTCTCAATTTCCCGTGGCAACACATGCCAGAGGCCATCACGATAGTTTGGTGGGAGAAATTTGCATGCAAACCTTGGAGAACAAGGAGAACTGCATGCAGCTTCTAAAGGCAGCTGATCCAAGCATCGTGCATGCAAAGGACTTCAGTGAGCTTTGAAAGGCAGTGTTGACTTTGGCCTTGAACAAGGGCATGGAGGGGCAAGCCTTCCTCAAGGAGTTGGCAAAAGTTCAGAACTCTCCAGCCATAACAGAATGTGCAAACTTTTTCTACGATGGGGTGGTTATATCATTCAGGAGTGCCTTGGGGGAGTTCAAGGAAGATCCTCAAACTGCTAACTATGATTCCAAAGTTGCTATTGATGGACCTGACGGTTGCAACAGAGCCTTGGCTTCTGAAAAGATTTATAACCCTGCTATTGATGCTCTTAACAAGGAAATTATGTTGCTTAGCACTATTGCATTCCAAGCCACAAATAAGCTTTCGTCTTAATTAACCCAATTTTGTGGGCAATGTAAATGCATGCATGAAGAATCCAAGTTATACGTGGTGGGTTACTGTTTTATTTAGGGTGTCTCCTTTGGTGTGGAGGGAGGTCATCAATAAAATCAAAGCTATTTATTTATTCTGTTAAATATTTACTTGTTCCTTTCTTCCCTTCTTTTATTTTTATTTTTATTTTTTATCAATACGATTTCACATTCAGTAAAACAAAAAATAAAATAAAATAAAATAAAATATGTCCTACGATATGATGAAAATGACTAAAAACACTCTTTTTCTTACTAAGGATAAGATAACAATACTTTAACAAATAACGACGGATCATTTGCAAAAGAAAGAAAGAAAAAACGGCGAAGAAAAAATGGAAACTGGTACGTCGTAAAATCTTCATTCCAAAGTAGTAGAGAATTAAAAGATTGGAAAGAATAAGTTATTAAATGATAAATATACTTTTTTTTCTCAATTATATTTTGTTATATAATAAAATTTTAAATTTTGTTTTCTTTTTTTACAAAATTTTATTTAATATGATTATACCTTTTCTTTCCCTTTCTCCTCTTTTTTATCTGAACTATCAAAGTTAAATTATTAATTTTTATTTTTCTTCTTTCATTTTTGTTAACCCTAGGTCAATACAAAATACTTATTTATGTGTATTATAACTTGATGTGTTGAGATTGTTTTATGTATATTATGACTTAGTGTGAGTTGAGATTATTTTTGGAATTTTTTGTAATAATAAACTATTGTTAAAATAAACTGTATAAAATAAGTTTATAATTGAAAATGTTGAGTAAAAAGTGATTTTAAGATAATTTATTTTATTTGAATTTTAGAAAAATAAATTTTCTATATAATAAAAAAAGACATAAAATAATTGTATTAGTATTTAATTTTGTATTTAAAAGAACTAAAAGTTGAAAATGAAATAATAAAATTAAAGTTAGCGGTGGAGGATTGTACTAGGTTATAAACTTCTTTTATTTTCATCGTGATTCCGATAATAAAAAAAATAGAAATTAATTTAAACATAAATTCTTAACTTTTAATTATAAAATCTAAGCCTTTAATTAGAATGTACTAATTTTGTATACTTTTATTCAACATAGAATCTCGTGTATCTACAATATTGTTAACTCAATATTTAATTGTTATATTTAATGTGACGTCTAATTAAGTATATCGATTTTTTTTTTTTTAATTTCTCACAGCCTAATTTTTTAGGCATTAAACAAGTATTTCCACTCTTTCTCAATTTCTTTACCTATTTCTAACCTACCAAACAAAATGCGAAGGTAACAATATCAAACGTGCCGCGGGAGAAGAGTAGATACTACTCAATGAGTCGATGCCCATTTAGTAATACTGGAGTAGTTAAGCTTTTGTATTATTGGTAAGAAAGAAGTGAAAGAGAAAATAAAAAAATTTAGTTTGTTTAGAAGAGAAAGAAGTATGAAAAGAGAGAAAAGAGATAGTGAGATCCATATATGGCAAAAAAATATCTTTACGGGACGGAGAGATTTTGTAAAATCTTTAGAAAAATTGTAGGATCTACTAAAAATGTATATTTTTATCTACTTCTTTTCAAACATCCTAAAAATCTATAATTTTTTACTCATTTTCTCTTTTCTCCTACTTCTTTCTTTCACACTTCTCTTATTATCAAAACAAAGAATATCGTGTTAAGTTTCATGAATTGTAAGTAGACCTCTAGTTTCGAAATTAATTATAAAATGATGAATGACCCAATTATGTTTTCTTTAGTTTAGAGACTTGATTAAAATCTTTAAAAATTCCAGATCAAATGATGTATTAAACAAAAAAGAAAGTTATGTTTATTATATTTGAATAAAAAAAATATTTCGTAACTTTTTAATACACAAAAAAATTAATCAATGTAAAGAAATTAGATTAAGATAAACAAATTTTTAAGAAAATATTTTTTGGGCAGAATTTTCAATTTATTGAAGTGTGAAATATTAACATTAATCATAATTTAGCACGTGATAGAAAAAATGATAAATAATGCTATAATTGAATTATATATTAAAATAAAAATGTCAGAAGAATTTCTATTTATTTGTACATTCAAATAGGAAAATAAAACATCAAAGAATTAGGGGCCTTTATATATATTGGCTATTGCCACAGCAAAGTTGTGAAGAGTGTAGAACTTCTTGTAAAGTGTATAGACTTTAAATTTGTTATTTTGCTAGTGTACTCAGGTGATAAGTGTTATCCAAAAACTCACCATTGGCAGATATGTATAAATCACGAGACTAGCAAATCTTACATCGTTTTCTAATTATAATATCATTGAAACATAGGGTTCAAACATTGTTCTCACGGGACATCGATGCACATCGTATTCAATACTTATCCTTTTGCAGCTTATATATATCATCAACTCAAACGCATTTTTTATTTCATTGGAGCAAGTTGTCAAACAGTTACTCAAGTTTTGTGACGACCTCTCGTTTATGTAGCTTATCCAAAAATCAGATAAGTAAACAAACATGCCATATCTTTGATCTTTCTTTTCTGAAAGTAAAAGGGAATAAAAAGTCATATATATCCTAACTTGGCAAATGCTTCTGCTAGATCCAAACGCATGTGACTCCAAACCTCGCCATGTTGTTTATTTAAAAGAAGAATGTAGAAATATTTTCTAACAATTTTTGTTATTAATTACAATTTATAAATAAAAAATTAAGTACAAATTTAAAATGAGACTCGTTGAATAAAAAGAGAATTCCATATAAAAATTATAATTTTTATAATTTTTAACTATTAATAAAAATGAATGTCAATTCCTTCTACCTGAAATGGTATTATGGTAGGCAACATGGTAATAATCACCAAGCCCAAACTCAAAAGCGAGAAAGTGGTCCACTTCATTTTTAAATAAAAAAATTGTTTCACGTAATCAAAATATATGAAGGATTAGGAATTTTAAAGCCATATTCTGTTCGAGAATGATGTGACCTGATGATGCTTTAAAGAATTTTCATCTCTCATTCAGACTTGAAAAAAATAAATAAATAAAGAATGAATAAGAGTATAGAACCTTTTCTTTTTTTAGATAAAAAATGTATCAATATTACATTGGATCTCAATTAATTCAAGTCAAACTAAATAAAGTCATCTAATGAAATTAATTTCTTGCATAAGACTTTGATGCATTCATAAATTTGTTGATTTTGTGGCAACAAATCTGATAATATATAGTATTTGGGAAATGCAGATAATACTGAGGACGCAACTAATCCACTCACAAAAAGTAGTTCATCACATTGTAACTAATCTGATAAATAATTTATAGCATTAAATATATATTCACAAAAGTTAAAATTTTAAGTAGAATCACTCAATGATGAACTCATCTGGAAAGGAAGAAAAAAAGAATTACTTGTCTTGTGGAATTATTTATGGTTAATTAAGTAACTCCTTGTAATATTTTTTCTGCTATGGAGGCTTTAACAGCCACTACATGACAACACTACGTCACTACGACCGGATAAACCTTGCAACGATGCAATATATATAATCATGCCAAACTAGCTTTTTAAGATGGGAAAATTATTAAATGATTCTACATCATATGATTCTTAATTATTATGTATCATGTTATCGAATATATTTTTTTTACAAACCATATGATTTTTAATTATTTTTTATATAACATGTTATCGAATATTATTAATTTTTTAAATTAAAAAGTTTAAATACATATTACGGATATAGTTGAAACCATAAATATATAATGATCTTCAATTACTTATGTTAAATAATTCATAAAAAAAATCACTTAAATAACATTTAAAATATTTAGTATTTATAAATAATTAAAATGTTTATTGATTTATTTTAAAAATATAATAATTAAAAAAAATAAATGATTGATAGATTTTGATCTACGTTGTTGAGATATCTATCTTATTTTATTTTATTTTGTGAAAAAAAAAAGGAGTAATTTCCCAACAAAAATCAACTCACAAGAAAAAATAGTAGAACTTATATAACTTTTCGATGAACGGTAAAATAAAAATTATAAACTCGCAAATATTCAAGAAGACTTAATCCATTATTTACCAAAAAAAATCAGTCACATGATTAGTCTCTCGATACATATGAGTTAACACCAGCTCAAAGTCTCCCTACACAAAAGACAGAATATTGTGGACCAACCCAAAATAAGGATATGAAATTCAAAGTCATGTTTCGACAAAGATATAACATTATGTAAATTTAATTTAAGAACAAACCTCCTAAAACCCTTGCCCCATGCAATCACAATCCCAAAATAGATGATCCTCTCTATCTTATAGTGATATTTTGCGTGCCAAGTTTTTATTTAAAAATACAAATAAAATATAAAAATAACTCTCAATATATATTTAAAATCTTATATTAATGAACAACAATTATTAGCCTAATCGGTGAAAAAATTATAAAACGGTATAGTGGTGAGTATTCCCGCCTGTCACGCGAGTGACCCGGGTTCGATCCCCGGGAACGGTGTCAGAAACTTTTTATCTCTTTGCAATTTCACTTGTTATACTACTGGAAAGCAATAAGAGTTTAATTTGTTGTAGTAAATAATCTAAACAAGCAAGAACAATTCTTTTTGATATTTTGGTAAACACTTAGAGTGCAAAACTTGATTCTAATGTAATATTAATAAATTATTGTCTCATGCTTATCACTAAGTTCACAATAGTTATTATTCAGAATTTATCAATCACTCTCAAAAGTAACCAACCCTAATCTCTTACAAGTTGGCATCTAAGTTGCTAACTTAAACTATCAATCTCTTGCATAGTTTAACCAAGAAACTAGCTTTAAAAACAATAGCTTAAGAAAGACCAATGGCATTTACTCTATCTCTAGCAATAAGCACCATTAGCTGCTCTATTTCAAGTTAAAGGTTTAAAATCATTTCTCAATCTCTTAAAAATCTTAAGTTCAAGTTAAGGTGGTCAAGCCATAACAAGCATTATGCACAGAAAAAGAGCAATAAAACTGAATAACAACTTAGATTGATAGCTTAGAGTTTACACATGATAATGGGTTTAGTTACATCAAATCCCAACAAGGGTGAGTTTAGCTACACATAGACATGTAGAACTCT